CCCCCCCCCCCCCCCCGATGTGTCGGTCGGCAGCTGGGGGTCCTACGTTTGGCAAACGTAGGACCCCCGCGATCCCCAGGGTCGACACATGCGGTTGCTGCCCATAGTGTGAGGTAGAGATAGGTTTGCCGACGGCTTGTGGCGTGGAATTGCTTTTGTATTTTGGTTTTTTCCATCTCGTGATGTGGGAGATAGAGATAGGTGTCATTGATGCATCCCTTGTTCTTTTTCTTTTTGATATCTCCTCCAGCGAAAGGTCGTAGGTGTCCTGAAGATGCGGATAAGAGGTACAACAATAGGTCAAAACTGTACCGCGACAAGCTGTGGGCTCTCGACTGGGTTGGAGAGCCCGGCGAGCCCGGGTGCGGTGCTGCTGTATTCTTGACGGAGGACGAAGGGACGACCTAGTATTGTTTTGGTGGCATCATCAGGTCTGAAGTTGACAAGGCCATGACGGACAAGGGTAAGGTCGACGACCAAGATTTTAGGAAATTCTTCCTCACTTCGGTGTACGATGAGCAGGGTACGAACTGGGTCAAGACTGACCACAAGGTCAGCCTTGACATTGCTCTGTTCAAGGGGTATGGTCAGAAGGCATTCGGTATGAAAGCCTTCAGCAGCAAGCGGGACGGGAATGCTTCGAGGATGCTCTTACCCATTGAATTCCTCACCAAGACCAATGGGTATAGGAGAAGTGGTTAATACCTGACGGTCTCCGCTGGTTACCAGCTCTCGTTGCCTCTTGTGCCGTTCGACGCTCCATGAGAAAGTATCGCAGGCTTGTCAGCGTGCTCTAGCGATCGGCGGCAGGATGTCTCGACTCCGCAACCATCTATGTCCGCGAAGGAGAAACTCATTACTTACCAGAGGCGTCCGAGCGGTGGGTCATCGGGAAATGTTCTAAAGAAGAAGGTGCTCGACAAACCACCTTCCAGTCTTCCGGGAAGCTCGCGTGCCGGTAGAAGCTCGCGCTCGCGGGACACCTCCCAACGTCGAATGGACGAGGAGTCAAGCGAGAAGACGGAGGACGATGAACGGATTCGCCGATTGCAATCCCAGTCACTAGCCACGCGAAGGTTCACCCAGGGCGAAGGCTCTTGCGATGTGAATGAAGAGCGGGAGGATAGTAGAGGTGACGAAGCCCGGGCGAGGGGCAATGGAGACGACAATGAGAATGAAGGAGAATGTGGTGGTGGGCAGGACCACATGGATTGCGAAAAGGCAGCGGCAAGCGGCGGGGTGCTCGGTGGTAATGTGGGTGGTTCGGAGATGGAAGACCAGGAGATGGAAGATGAGGAAATGGAAGACGAGGAAATGAAAGACGAAGGACAAGATGTCGATGTTTCCGCGGAACTTACTTCGAAGGGGAGGGGAAAACGCACAGCGGAATCGTCGCCGAAGCGAGCCGGGCCTAAGAAGCAGGCTCGAAGAAAAGCTGTGCAGGACGCTCGGCTCGCCTTGGATGCAGCTGCTGGTACGCCTGGTGAAGCCGGTGTGGAATCCAAATCCAAAGCTCGGGTTCGCAAAACGCCGCAACCCAGGAAGCCTGTGCGGCCGTCGAGGCACTAGAAATCGGATGACTCGAGCGACTATGCTGAAGGGGTGGCCCCTCGTTTGCTCTCCATCCCTAACGACGACGAACCGGAGACGAAGAAACCCAAAGCGGTGAACATGACGCAGTGCTTCTTCCTCGAGTACGACGAGGACGGCAAAAAGAGAAAGGACCCGCCTAGGGTGGTCATTGACGTCATGCAGATTCTTCCGATTCCGGTGGGAGAGATCACCTTCAACCAGCGAGCCCTGAACCCGGCCATCGTCGCAGGCATCGAAGCGGCAATCGAAGCATCAACTCGCCCACAGTCCATGGATGATCCGGCTCCGTGGGATCCACCGGAGTTGGTGCTGGCTCCGATTAATCCATCAAAGGACGCGGACGAACAARGAACCCGCGTCCTTCCAGAGGATTTCGACCCCGAACAGGCAGATGAGTTTTTCTATTACCCGGTTGCCGGTCAACATTCTTCCGAAGCTATGAAAAGAGCGGTGGCGAAGAACTCTGCAGCGGTGGAGGTGTTCGGCTTTCGGAATTATGATCGTGTACGGATCATTTATTTTGACGATGACCATACGAACGGGTACCATTATGTTTCCACATATGACAACACGCGAGGTGACCGTGCTATGTTGCCATCGTTCCACCAAGCCTGCGTGGACATCTGAGGATTTTGGGACAGCAAGAAATGGATCGGGTCTGTGGGGAACGTGTCCAAAGGGGATCCCAAAGGCTTGGAGCACCAGAAAACATGGAGGGAATTTTTGAGGTCGTGCATGGGGAAGTCGTGTGAGAAAGCATTGTGGACCGAGTGTATCTCWGGGAAGTGGCAGCARGACTGGACGAACAGAATGAGGGGGTACATGAATGTCGCCAYATGCAAGGACCCGGTATGGACACTGGTTAAGGAGTTTTTTTAGAAGTATGAGGCAGGGGAGTTGCCGCTGCACGACAACAAATGCCCAAAGGACTTGCCCGAAAAGCAGGAAGGCCGGGTGCCGGGCCAATACACTGAAGAGGTGCAGGGGAAGAAGGAGCTGTTCCATTGCATAGCGGSTARGGACGGGGGACCAAACGCTAYCGTGTCCTYCAAAGATCTCATTCCATCAAACTTCAAATGTTTTGGAGATATGACGAGGCGAGAGAAGGAAATTGCATTGCGGTTGATGATAGATAAGAAGGTCATCGCCACTACCCGACTGGTTCCTCCAGGGAAGTTGAACATGAGCAACCTCCTCGACATCATGCAGCGGGAAAGATACATGATGCGTCTGTTCAACTACATCTTCTTCAAATCGGAAAACAAAGAGGGGAAAGAATGGAAGGACGAAAACTTCATCGACTACGAAGAGTTGGAGAAAAGGTTCGGTGTGAAGGCAGCCGAATGGGATGAGGAGAGGGATAGAATCCCTTTGGAATATATCAGGAGGGTTCCTAAAAGACTCGGCGGAGAGCAAGAGGAAAAAGGCCTGAAAGGAGCTGGCTTGAAGGCCACCGCGGCGTTGTATAGGGACGCACCTTTCCACTTCAAGTACTTCGTGTACCATGCGATTAGGAGAGTGGACTTGCTGACAGCAGAGTTGCGGCGGTTGAAGAACGCTGCCCTTAATCTTAGCTGGGAGAAGAAACAGCGACGGTCGACATTGCTACCGGTCAACATGCAATCGAAGGAGTTGCTGCCTGCGGGCGACGAAATTGTGACTGCGGCCACGAACTTGAATTGCAAGGCGGCCATCCTGGATCTCGCCAACCCGAAGGACTGCCTTGTATGGACGCCAGCCGATTTCGATGCTCTGCGCAAAATGATGACGAAATTGTGCGGTAATAATTGGATTCTGATTATATTTGCTCCGCAAAAACAGCACAAGGCCGTCATGAAGCAACTTTACAACTGGGACGATGCAGAGGTGTTACTTGGGACTTGGAAGCATTATCTCGCGTTCGGAACGGTTGTCAGCAAATATGGAAACTGGCAAGTCGATTATAAGGACACGATGGCGGTCGTCCTGCATGCTAAGGGGGGCGACCTCAGGAAGGTAACGAGGGCTCCTAAATCGGAGGCAGAGATAGTGGAGCTGAACGTTGATGAGGAGCAATTCAAGAAATGCACAGCAAAACACGGTGGCGAGGAAGGAAACGAACGAGAGGTGTATGGGCGGTGGGAACGACATCCTAAACTGTTGCAGAAGTTGTGCAGTTCGTTTCTGCACGAGGACCAGGGGGTGATTCTTATTGGAAAATCGCATGCCGGACTTGTGTGGGAGCTCCTGCGCGCTGGCCATCATGTTTTCGCATGCGACTCATCGTCAAAAGACATTTCATACTTGACGAAGGTCATCGGAATTCTCGGGAAGGATGCGAGAAACGAATGCACCGTTGAGAGACAGAAGACTGCGCATCGTCCTGACAGGGACATGTACCACAAGCTGGGCAAGAAGAGAAACAAGATGTGGGAATATTTGTTCCAAGGCCAACCCAAGACGCCATTCGAGCATGACTACATAGTTCGCAAAGCGATGGCACATGAAGCGTATAGTGGCTACCATAGAGCGCAAGTGGGGTCGTTTGCGATGTTCGTAGCAAGATGCGAACGAATGAAGTTCGGAGGAAATCAGGCAATGCTGACGTACGATGGATACAACAAGATTGCCAAAGAATATGATGCGTGGAATCCGATCGAGAGCGATGAGGAGACTGAAACCTCAGACCTCGAAATCGAGGAGCGAGTGAAACGTATGCGAGAGGGAATGGAAAGCGCGTCTGCATGCAACGCGCCAAGCCTCCAGGAAGAAGAAGTTCGCACGAAATCGGCGGGTGTGAGCAGTCCAACGCGTGACGTGACCGATAGGGCGAGTTCCATTGAACACATGCAAACGGATTCGCTTACGCCAATTCAAGCATTTGAGAATGTACTGCTTCATGGCAATTGTCAAGGGTTCCGGGAAAAGGCTCAATCTCGAGGAAACCCGGTCAACGAAATGCGGCCAGAAGATGACGAGGATGACTTTGCGGTTCCAAATGCCCTCCCGAAGCTGATGCCCGGTGATGATATCCCTGATAGCATTGCGCAGGCCAGTGAACAGCCGTACTTCATTCCAGACAAGGTGCCAGAAACGACGTCTGACAAGTGGGGGCATCACATTTTGTGGCATATGGACCTATTTGAGCCATGCATTGTACAGGGGAAGTGGATGATGGCAGTCTATCTAACAAAAGGATGGAAAGTCAGAGTCAGACTGGATGAAGCCTCGTGGCAGAAACTGGCGAAGAGCGAAATCGTATTTCGTGTTAGGAAAGAAAATGACGGAGCGGACGAAGCAACTATTGAGGAAAAGGCTCGATTGCTATTCGAATGTCTTCACTCCAAAAACTGACTGGAATATAAACACGGATTCTATGACTTGGAGTCAAGTCGGTCATACAACAGCATTAACTGGAAGATCGATCTTCCCCAAGCTGGCCATGGCGTTGAGACAATCCGGTTGGGATGCTCACAGATTGGGGGGGAGTCGAACACGAAGTTTGCAATGAGTGTTGGGGAAGCGATGAGTCAGACAGCCAGCAAGATAATGGAGGCGACCGAGGTTCCACGGAATGTCGACAAAGTGGCATCGAACGTTACATCGTACGGACCTCCTCTAATAACGCAGGCGGAAAACGAGTGTGCATCGCAGATGGCGAGCCCCACTCCTTCCGGGAGTGGGGCTGTTGCAAATGAAATGCAACAAGGTGGGTATGCACAACGTGCGAGTGAGGTGCAAAATGATTCCGATGAGATGATGAAACTGCTAGATGAGACAGAGAAGGAGGRGACGAGGAAGGTCGAGGGACCAACCACGTCGAAGTCGGTGATTAATTGCATTTCGTTGAGTGATGAAGGGATAGATGGAGTTGTGGAGGGGCGCGATGACAATGACGATGCAAGGGCAAAAGCCGATGAACAGCGGCAAGGGGATGACGAAGGACGACCTGCAAGACGGTCGACAAGAGAAGTAAAGAAAAAACATCCAATTAATGTGTAGATATGTGCAGAGGCTGAGTTCGGGTTGGCGTGACACTCGATTGATGTATGTGACAATGTGTACGTAACTCATATAAGTGTTTTCGGTTGGAGACGTGTGATATAATAATTGATTCCGCAGTGATTTGAAGAGGACATTAT